AAGTTCATGGAGATAGCGCTTTAACCACAACATTTCTTTACCAGCTTCAGCGGCAGCAATATATTCAGCTTCTGTTGTGGATAAAGCAACACACTTCTGCAATCTTGATTGCCAAGAAATGGCTCCCCCTGCAAAAGTGTAGACATAACCCGAAGTAGACTTTCGACAATCAATATCTCCGGCCATATCAGCATCAGTATATCCTTCCAAGATTGGATCAGCTCCCCCGTAACAAAGACATAACTTAGAAGTACCCTTCAAGTATCTGAGAATCCATTTGACTGCCTCCCAATGCTCCTTCCCGGGGTTAGAAAGAAAACGACTCACTACACCCACTGCATGAGCAATATCTGGCCTGGTACATACCATTGCATACATCAAACTTCCAACTGCTGAAGAGTATGGCACTGCAGACATCTCCCCCACCTCTTCCTCGGATGTGGGACATGATCTTTTGCTTAACTTGAAATGATTCGCAAGTGGAATACCCACTGGTTTGGCATCACTCATATTGAATCTTTCAAGTACTCGTTCAATGTACTTCTCTTGAGATAGCCATAACTTGCCGTTCTCTCGGTCTCGAGTAATCTGCATCCCAAGAATCTGTTGAGCCTTTCCTAAATCTTTCATATCAAAAGACTTAGAAAGTTCTTTCTTCAGCTGACTTATCTTCTCTGCATCATTCCCAACGATCAACATGTCGTCGACGTACAGTAGAAGAACTATGAAAGCCCCGTTTGAGTATCTCTTGATGTAAACACACTCATCTGCAACAGTCTTCTTGTAACCTTGACTCTGCATGCATGAGTCAAACTTCTTATTCCACTGCCTTGGTGCTTGCTTCAGACCATACAAGCTTTTAGATAGCTTGCACACGAGGTTCTCACTTGAAACCTCAAAACCTTCTGGTTGTTGCATATAGATTTCTTCTTTCAAATCTCCGTGAAGAAAAGCTGTCTTCACATCCATCTGTTCAAGCTCCAGGTTCATACTTGCTGCCAAGCCAAGTATGACTCGAATTGAGGTCATCTTGACAACTGGTGCAAAGATCTCGTCAAAATCAATCCCTTTCTTCTGCTGAAAGCCTTTGACAACCAATCGAGCTTTGTGTTTCACCACTTGTCCATTTGCATCTTTCTTCAGCTTGAACACCCATTTGTTTTTCAAAGCCTTTTTCCCTTCTGGAAGTTTAACAATCTCATAAGTTTGATTTTTCTGCAGAGAATCTAATTCTTCCTGCATCGCAATCATCCATTTTTCTTTATCCTTATGAGATATGGCTTCTTGAAAACTCTCTGGTTCTCCATCTTCTGTCAATAGAAGGTATTCAGATGATGAGTACCTTTTTGATGGTATATGACCTCGTTCAGATCTACGAGTGGGTAGAACCATCTGAGAAGAACTTCCAACGTTGGTGTCTGGCAAAATGGGTTGTGGCTCCCCTTGCTCTGGCAAGATGGATTGTTGCTCCCCTTGCTCTGTCAAGATGGGTTGTTGCTCCCCTTGCTCTGCACTCTCTTCTGTCTCCTCGTCTCCTTCTGGTACATCATCTTCATTGTTTCTCCAGAACAATTCTGGTGCTTCATCTGAAACTTGAGCACCGACATTTGACTTCTGAGACATCTTGGGCTTTTCTATGTCTTCTATTGTCAAATTCTCTTGGAACACAACGTCCCTACTTCTGATCACCTTTTTCTCCTTTGGATCCCAAAATCTGTATCCAAACTCTTCATCTCCATAACCAATGAAAATGCATGGGATGGACCTCGCATCGAGCTTCTTTCTGAGCTCTTTGGATACATGTGCATATGCTACACAACCAAATACTCTGAGATGTGAGTATGTCGGATCCTTACCAGTCCATATTCTCTCTGGAACTTCAAAATTTAATGGAACTGAAGGTGATCGGTTGATTAGATAACATGCGGTCTTGACAGCTTCTCCCCAAAATGGCTTTGGTAATTTAGCCATATTCATCATGCTTCGGACACGCTCCATGATAGTCCGATTCATTCTTTCAGCAACGCCGTTGTGCTGAGGGGTACGTGGTACTGACTTCTCATGTCGAATGCCATATGTAAGACAATATGCATTGAACTCCTTTGAAGTATACTCGCCTCCATTATCAGATCGGAGACATTTCAGCTTCTTTCCTGTTTCACGTTCCACCATGACGTGAAATGACTTGAAGTACTCGAACACCTGGTCCTTCGTATTCAGGAAATATACCCACACCTTTCGAGAAGCATCATCAATGAAAGTCAGAAAGTATCTGCTTCCACCCAGTGATTCAACCTCCATGGGACCGCAAACATCAGAGTGTACCAAGCTTAACAACTCTGATCTCTTTGTTGAATTTGCATTGAATGAGACTCTATGCTGCTTGCCGAACAGGCAATGACTACAAGAACCCAATGCAACACTCTTATCAACCTTGATAAGATCCTTCTTCATCAGGGTAGTCAACCCTTTCTCACTCATATGGCCAAGTCTCTGGTGCCATAGATCCTGGGAAGCCTCCTCTGCAACATTGAGACTTTCTGTACTGATCTTCAAATGTGTTTTGTACAGCGTCCCACAAACATGTCCTCGGGCAATTTTCAGAACACCCTTTGACAACTTCCATGTGCCTGCACCAAAGTGATTGTCATATCCTTCTTTGTCAAGAGCCACCACTGACAAAAGATTCAGTCTAAGATCCGGCACATGTCTAACATCCTTCAATAGGATTGTACTCCCGGTTCCTGTCGTTGCCTGGATATCACCAATTCCGGCAATATTAGAGGAACTGGAATTTCCCATCTTCACCGATCCAAAGTCTCCAGCTTGGTATGTTGTGAAGTATTTCCTGTTGGGAGTAACGTGATAGGATGCTGCAGTATCTACCACCCATTCCATGTCTTCTCGTGAAACATGAAGGCATGTCTCACCGTGGGTAGAGCAATATGCTACCTCCCCTGAGACAGTGATGAGAGTTTCACCACCCTTGCCCTTGTTCTTCTGCTGAGAACTATTCTTCGGCTGAGAATTGCTCTTGCCCTGCTCCTCGAGCCATTTATAACAATTCTTCTTCATATGACCTTCTAGACCACAATGATAGCACACATGTGATCTCCGATCATCTGATTGCCTCCCCTTGCTTCTACCCCTGCTCTTCCCTCTACCGCTTCTTTGTTGCTTGCCTTGTGGTCTTCCTCGATTCTCCATTACAAGGGCATGGGTCTGATCTGTGCCCATGTCTTTCCTTCTTGCCTCTTCATTGAATAAGGCATCCTTCACAACGGACATGGAAAGTTTGCCGTTTGAGGCTGAATTGCTGAGAGTAACAACGAGTGTTTCCCAGCTATCAGGAAGGGAACTAAGAAGTAGCAGAGATTGCATTTCATCTCCAAGCGGCATCTCCACACAAGATAGCTGATTTACCAGGCTCTGGAACTCACTGGTATGCTCGGCAACAGAAGTTCCACTTTTCAACTTCATATTGACTAAGCGCCTCATCAATAAGGCCTTATTTCGAGCGGTCTTGGCCTGGTACATGTCCTCCAGCTTCCTCCAAAGGACATATGCGTCGGTTTCTTGTGCAACATGATGGAAGACACTATGGTCTATCCATTGTCGGATTTGACCAATAGTTTTTCTATTGATTTTCTTCCATTCTAACGCCTTGGACGGATCAGGGTTAATTCCCTCCAGCTCTATTGGGTCAAAGAGCTCTTTACAGCTGAGGAAATCCTCCATCCGAGGTTTCCACAGCGTATAATTGGTAGCCGTGAGCATAATCATAGCTCCAGAAGATGAAGTTGACTCTTCCATGGCCATTTCACCTTCAATTATCTATTTGGGACAAATCAGAGCTGTATTTTGAAAAATAGACAGCACCGTTGCGTCCGAAACAGTCGAAAATGCGGGGAGGCCTTTTTTTTACTGTGATGATGTGGCACTTGACTGGGGTCCACGGGTTGACGTGGCAGCTGACTGGGACTGCTGACGTGGCAGTAGCTGGGACCCCTTCTGCTGACGTGGCAGGTGACTGGACTGCTGACGTGGCAGATGACTGGACTGCTGATGTGGCAGATGACTGGGTCTTCCTTGCTGATGTGGCGATGACGTGTCAGATGATGTGGCGACACGTCATCATCTTCTTCCTTAGGATTTTTTTTTTCTCAAAACTTCAGAAGGATATAACTCTCAGCTCCGGTGTCCGTTTTTCGCCCGTAAGATACCGTTGCGACCGTCTCGACGAGACGAATCTAACGGTGTTCTTGGAATCGAATTTCGAGCACAACTCAGAAACTCGAAATTTCTACAGAGGCTCGGAAAAATTCAAAATTAAGCTCGAAAGCTTCAGACCAAGCTCTGATACCACTTGTTGTGGTATCGTCCCAAGATCATAAACATAATTGAGAGAAAAATAAGTTTCTATTACTCACAAGAATAAAAACAAGAGATTTACAAACTCTAAACAAAAACTCTCAAACTCTCCCACAACTCTTCTTGGTTGTGTTTCAACACTCTCAAGGTTGATTGATCACACTCTTGGATGATTCAAATGAATTAAATGAGCACTCTATTTATAGGCACAAAAATTAGCACACCATTGTGTGTGAATGAGGAAGGTGGTGGATGGTAGGTGAAGGGCTAGTCTTCTTCTTCATTGGTGTGCTTGAATGTTTGGTGGATGGACTTGGTGCATGGAACTTTCAAATTCTGTCCATCCAACAAGATCCCCTGTTTCCATTTGAAACAAATGGTGGTTTCAAGATAGTGAATGAGACGAAATCTTTTGCTCAAATGAGATATGACATCAAATCTCATGTTCCATTTTTATTTTATTTCGTGTTTTATCCGGTTGAATGAGTGACATGTTTAGGTGACGTTAATGCATTTATACACGCCATTCCGAATAAATCACGAAATTAAATATAAAAGTGGAACATACAAGATTATCAATGGTATTTGTAAATATTGTACATATCTATCTCAACCAGGGTTATACCACAATATATATATCATATCATCGTGTCCCGAACATAACCTTCACAACGTTATAAAAATCGTGATCATACGCCTTGGCCCGGTAGTGCTGGCCCGGGATTATCTTCGTGTACAAATAGAATGCCACGCAAGCAATGCCGGGCCCGGCCCAAAACACCCAATGCCCGTCCCAAAGATGCCCGCCTCTAACAACAGCCGCCCCAAAACACATAGCCGGGTTCATCCCAGGCCCAACATATCCATTTTGGGCCATAAGACCAGACGTGACGAACATGAGTAGGCCCGAAACCATCCCAACTATAACAAAAACAAGCACACGACCCAACTCCTCAACTTGCCTATGATCGTACGCCATCCAAATCGAGGCAAATAAGAAAATGAAACCACATACGATCTCGAGCCAGAGGGCCTGGGCCGTCCCTAGGCCTATTGGGTCGGGCCCATTTGGGCCCTGCCCAATAGCTGTTATGGTGCATCCCCGTAGTGAAAGAGTTTGTTCAACCGAGCTACTCACGATGCCTTTAAGTGCTAGTGCACCCAAAACACCCCCTAAACATTGTGCCGTTATGTAGACGAGCCCTCGAGTCATGGAAATGATACCGACTAGGCCGGCCGAGAAGGATATAATGGGGTTTATGTGTCCGCCCGAAATAGGATGCACGGCTAGGAGGAGGATCGAGGTTGTGATTGCCGCCAAAACTGATTGTATGAGGCTCGACATTTTGATGTCGGGCTCGATTGTTGAGATTGCGATTGTGTCGAGCATGAATACGAGGACTGCAGTCCCGAGAAGCTCCCCTATCGACGCTCGCCAAACCTTTTTACATCAACAAAATGTGTTATAGTAACTTCCATGTGATAGTGATACTACTCTAACAATTTTGTATTTTTAATACTTATAAGGGGATTGACAACGAACGAATCATAAATATCAAATAAGCAAGTATCAACTTTAAACAATCATGGTTAACTGGAGTTACATGCTCATATTTTATTACAGATAATATTACATTTCATCAGGCATTTATGTATATGCTTCTAGTTCTACATGATAAATTGCATATCTGGTGATAATCCATATTCACTTTGCTACAGGTCCTTTGAATCTCTTGGGCATCTTATAACAAATTAGCAAGATTTAAAGTTCCATTGCAACATTGTACTGTTGGTAATTTAAACCATTGAGAGAAGCTAAAATTAAAGATCAGTTCTTAATTCATTAGTGACCATCCGTTTCTGTTTAATTCCGCTAGTAATTTCTGTTGACAATTCTACGATTTCTTGAATTAGTCATTAAAGTTGAAATATCATAAAGGGTATTTAGAAATTTCAAAGATATATAACCCGTTCTTTGTTTAAATCTTTTGTGATGAGATTTTTATTTTAAATGTTTAGCTATGTATATATACCTTATTCAAATTATAAATGCAAGCAAAAAATAGTGCTTACATCTAAAGAAAAGAGTTCATTGAGGCCCAGCATCTCACTCAGTATGGGAGATTGTTGATGATTCTTTTCAGGCTCAGTTGTCCAATTTTGTGCCCTGCTAGAGTAAAACAAGAATTGTCGAACAGGAAAACGAATAAACAAAATATTTGGGGTGGAAAGTGAAAATACATAGAACTTGCCCTGGAGTTGAGGAGACAGGCTGAATCTTGGTTCCAATATTTTGAGATTCTTCATCATCCATAGGATAAAAATCTGTACTATTATTATTATTATTATTAGCCATGTCTTTTTTTTNTGGCTTTTCTCTAATACCCTCTATATATACATATTTTTTTTCTCAACTAATTTAGTGAAATTAAATATATATTGTTAGCAAGAGAGGTGGAGATTCACTTAGATGGAGGACTGCAAATGAATTGAGGGCTTGCAATTCAAATCTCGGCTCAAGCACGAGTCGGGTTCGAGCACCTCAAACTCGAACACGAATCTAAATCGAGCATGTATGTTATTATAAACTCGATCTAGTGTTGGACGAGACGCTGGAGTATAAGTGTAAATTTACCTAAATATACCCCTAACTAGAGTTTAATTCGAGCCAAACTCTCATATGAACAAAAATGTATTATTAAAAATTCGGGCTGGACTCGAGCAAAATTTGAATTGATGAAAATATGAGTTTAACTCAATATTTATATTTTTTTCCAATCAAGCCAAGCCCCAATACAAGAAAATCGAGCTAGCCTTACTCAATAAGGTCAATGCTCAACCTGGCGATTCAATTACAACCTTAATTTGATATTTATGGATGTCACACTTGAGGCAATTAATGTGCATACTTTTAATTTGCCTTCCTTCTTTTGCTTATTTCTTTCGACTGTAACTCATTTTCTTTATTTTTCTCAAATATAATATGTTTATATCAATATATGTGACAAGTATCTTTCAAGTGTTATTATCTAAGTTATACCTTAAGTTTTCATTTTAATTCAATTAATATTTTCACAATGTTATTGTCAAAAGTACTGGCAGGACATATGCAAATGGCCAATCAATATCATAATATATTTCATTTAGATTTTGTAAGTGACTTTTCTCTAGCTCCCTAACAATATTGCATACCTAATGATAATTGAGGATAGTCTGTCATCACATTAGAAAATTATTAATGTTTTAATTTAAGCAATTGAGTAGTTATTAACCATCTTTGAACATGCCTATTATTTTTATTATATTTTTCATAATTTAAGGTACTTAGAAAAGTTGCTGTCAATAATTTTATATATAAACTGAGCACTCTTAGACCATAACTGAGTAAATTCATCAAAAGTGTTTTTACTGAAATTCAATTAGTTAATAATGTACTCCGTACTTGATAATGTTTTAATTGATTAATTTGAGATAATTTTAATCGAAATCACAGCTGGAAATTGACACGTCATGCTCACATATCCCATTAAAAATTTTAAAAAGTTTTATTTACGTCAATATTGCTACAAGAATCATGCTTAGTCGAAACAGTAAAACCGACATGACAATTGAGTACTGAATTTTCTTAAGTAATTAATAATTGGAGAAAAATATATGCATGGTTAATTGGTCTGTTAAGAATTAAGATTCATAGGGCCAAGCTTCAAGGTGGTTCAAATAAGATTATTTTTCAACTTTGATAATCAATTCGAACAAATAATTAATTGTATGTTTACATCAAATGCATTCTCACGTTTAACATTGAATNTATACACGCCATTCCGAATAAATCACGAAATTAAATATAAAAGTGGAACATACAAGATTATCAATGGTATTTGTAAATATTGTACATATCTATCTCAACCAGGGTTATACCACAATATATATATCATATCATCGTGTCCCGAACATAACCTTCACAACATTATAAAAATCATGATCATATGCCTTTGCCCTGTGGTGCTGGCTCGGGATTATCTTCGTGTACAAATAGAATGCCACACACGCAATACCCGGCCCAGCCCAAAACACCCAGTGCCCATCCCAAAGATGTCCGCCTCTAACAATAGCCGGCCCAATACACCTAGCTGGGTTCATCCCGGCCCCAACATACCCCTTTTGGGCCGTAACAGTAGACGAAACGAACACCAACAGGCCCAATACTATCCCAACTATAACAAAAACTAACACATGGCCCAACTCCTTGGCCTGCCTGTGATCATACGCCATCCAAATCGAAGCAAACAGAAAAATGAAACTACAGAAGATCTCTAGCCATAGGGCCTGGGCCGTCCCCAGCCCAATTATAATGGGCCCATTTGCGCCTGGCGCTACAACAGTCAATGTGCAGCCTCCTAGTGAGAAAGTTTGTTCAATTGAGCTACTTACCACAGCCTTAAGTGCTAGAGCACCTAAAACACCTCCTAAACATTGTGCCAATATGTACACAAAAGCCCTAGACATGGAAATTATTCCGACTAGGCCGGCCGAAAAGGAGATAATCGGGTTTATGTGGCCGCCGGAAATCGGGTGGACCGCCAATAGGAGAATCGAGATTATGATTGCCGCCAATGCCGAAAGTATGAGGTTCGGCATTTTGACGTCTGACTCGATTGTCGAGATCACGATTGTGTCGAGCATGAATACGAGAACTGCCGTGCCCAGAAGTTCGCCTATCGATGCTCGCCAAACCTTTTTAATTTTGCATTGAGGAAATATGTTTTTTTTAGTGAAATTTTCAGATGACTACTACAAGAAAATGATAAATTAATTTTCAATGGAAATAATATATATGACTCCAATAGATATTCTAATGTTGTTATTGCTGTTGAATTTTTCAATGGATTCCGGTGAAAATATTCCATTGAAATGAATTTTCCAGTAGTGAAATAATGTTCAAAGCAATACAAGAAAATAGTAAAGTTTCAATGGAAATATATGACTGCAATGGATACTCTAATGTTGTTACTGCCGTTGAATTTTTCAATGGATTTCAATGAAAATATTCCATTGCAATGAAGTTTCGCTGAAATTTCCATTGGATTTTGACGATTCTAGTGGTAGATTTTCGAACGGTTGAAATATGATGGAAATAGCAATTTTATCCAAAATTGCATATTCCAACAATAAACAGTTAGAATAATTGCCGTTGGAATCATAGATTCCAGCTAAAATTTCAAAAGAAAAATTTAATTCCGACATAATATTTTTAATTTTGATTTCCGTTGAAAAAAATTCAACGAAAAGTATTCTATTGAAATATATATGGGAATTCCCATTTGAATATTTTACCGTTTTCTTTAGAATATGGTAGCTATTCTTTTAGTAAAGTTGGTAACTAATTAGCTTGTATCAACATCCTTTCAAATGATGGCGGTAACACTTGAAATACATGTTCATATTAATTTCTTTTTCGCACAATTTTTTGCTATATGATCATTTATTTTAAATTTCCAACTATATATATATATATTCGTGTTCGTGTTGTTATTCGAGTTATTAATGCATGCCAAATTTAATTAATAATTTAATACTTACATCCAAAGAACAGAGTTCATTGAGTCCCAACATCTCACTCAATAAGAGAGACTTTTGATGTTTCTTTTCAGGCTCTGAACTCCAATTTCGTACCCTGCAAACGTAAAGCACGACGTGTCAAAACGAAAGCAAGCGAAAAAACGAATAAACAAAATATTTGGGGGTGAAAATGGAAATACATAGAACTTGCCCTGGAGTTGAGGAGACAGGCTGAATCTTGGTTCCATTATTTTGAGATTCTTCATCATCCATATTATGAATATGTGTACTGTTATTTGCAGTCATTTCTCTTTTTTTTTTTTCCCTTTTTTTCTAATTATTATTATTATTACTTCTCTTTTTGTTGTGTGTACTTGTTTATGGCTTTGATATATATATATATATATGCACATAAGCATAGGGGAAACAAGTTGAATTTCTTTTCAACTAAATTAAAGTTGAATTAAATATATGTTGTTTATTACCAACAAGAGTGGAGATTCAGTTGGATATTTATGGATGTCACACTTAGAGTGACAATTAATGTGCATGCATTTCTTTTGCCTTACTTCTTCTCCTTGTTACTTTTCAATGTATTTCTTTTCTTTATTTTATTAAATATAATATATTATTAATTTAGAGGTGTAAATGAGCTCGAGCTCATAATAGTCTAATACTCGAGTTCAGGCTCGAGTCAAGATCGTAAGTTCACAATCCGGTAAACGAGCTCGAGTGAGCTGGACTTTAAAAGATTACATAAAAACTCTCATTTCAAGCTTTAACGAGCCTAACTCAATTCAATTCGTCGAGCTCAAAACTCGTTTAACTCGAGTCAAGTTTGACATTAACGAAACGAGATCGAGTTCACGAGTCACCCGTTAAGTTTAGCAGCTCTAATTCATATCAATATTGTCGATATGTACTGTGACTTGTAAGTACCTTTCAAATGTTGATTTCGGATTGGGGCGTTTACGAATTAATTTAGTTGACAGAAGCTTATTATATGAATTATGCATTATTTGTCCATTATTGCGAATTGGCGGCCCATGCAAATGGTCAACGTACCATTCCTATTATTTCTTTTTTTTTTTTTTTTTATTTTAGATGTGACTTTTCTCACTTTATCAATATTTCCCACCTAAATAATAATTGAAGATGGTCCGACTGTCACATTAGAAAATATTATTTAGAAAATATTATTTCAGATCAACTGACGTATTTATTAATCATTTTTTATTTCTCTCAAGTTCTTGGCATGCATCCAGGTTTCACATTCATAGTAATTTTATTTTCGTAGTTTGTCCGTTGTTTGGCATGAATAAACACTATTATATTAGTAACTTTTTATTATTTTCCGATGTATATATGTTTTCTTGTTGAATAAACTAAAATTACCTGCCAAAAAAATCTGAACTGACTAAGAAAAATGAGCATTATATGTGTAAATCAGATTATTTAATTTTTGATTATATAAGACTAATTAAAACTTACAGGTTGATCCTCTGCCCAAATTTCACATTCTGGTGTCTGTTTTGCCTTTTTATTATTTTCAATATTTTTCATTTTGTTTTTGTATTTGTTTTCAATAATACATATTTATTTGGTTAGAAATACATTTAACTTCTAAGTTTTATCCTATCATGCTAAATATACAGCACATGGTTTATTAAGCCTCAAATGGTCAAACTTCAAGATGGTACTTTTTCAACTTTGATTATGAAATTGAGCTAACAATTGCATGTTTACATCAACTGTACTTCTCACGCTTATTAATTTTATAATGACTTTGCTAAAAGATAACGGTGAAGACCCGGCTTTGTCCTAGCTACTTACTTACACTAACTATCATAATAGTTTAAATAATTTTGAACTTTTTTTTAATACATACATAGAAAGGTAAGTTGATATTGTACCAATATAATGAAAACAACCAACTTGATGTACCAAAATTGCAATTTTCCAATCAATTTATTACCAGTTGTTACTACTTATGAAACTTGTGAGTGAAAAAAAGTCAACTTTTTATAAGGATAGTGGGGAAATTGTGCAATAAATGAGGAAAACATATCTCAAAATCAATTCCAAGGCAAGATTTTGTTTTTCCCACTTCTTTTCCGATGCAAGTGGGCTGAGTCCATATTGTGATGCCCTCTAATTGAGGCAACAAGTCAACAACTGCCGGCCCATTTAATGCATAAGTGAGTCCACATAGAATTGGTCCATCTTTGATAAAAGAAACGAATTGTAAGTGAGCTCGGTTGAGTTCATTTGATAAATAAGTTGAAATCGAGCTTGTTTAAAATTCGATTATTTAGTGAGTTGAATTTAGTTTGACTTGTTAAGGCTTAAAAATATGAATTTTGATGTGATTTTGTATAATTTGACTATTTAATATTGATAAATACAAGTTGCGGACGAATACATTTCAATGACACTCTTTTACACCTGAATTGAAGCTATAAAACAAAATGGAAAGAAATGACATGAAAAGGGGGAAAATTCGTAACTTTGATTTTGATTTATTAATAGGGTATTAAATCAGTTTTATGTACGGTATTAGTTTTTATATTTAGTTTCCAAAGAGTCTAATGATTGAAGTGACTCTGCATGATAAGAAAATCATATAAAATTCAACAATTTATACCAAAAGATAATTGATCAGGTGACCCGATAATGTCTTGTAAAAATCAAACAAATGGGAAAACTATGGTAGAAAACTCTCGTACCAATTTAGGAAATTAGTGGAAACATAATTCTTTGTAGAAATGATTTCACTAAGATTATGTAATTAATACTCTTTGGGAATTAGGAAGATGATAATATAAATATCAGTTCCGCTGTACTGAGTATAATATTCAAATATTATAACATCTTGACACACGTAAATAAATGATACATCTTAATATATCAATTGACGATAGATGAATATTTTCAATATAAATACATGTAGTTGTATAAAAAAGTATTGAAAAAACTAATAAAATGTAAAAAGTGCAGTGTTGATGACATGAAATTGGCTTCCACTAATTAATTAAAAGTTATATGAGTCACTAAATTAATTTAGTGAAACTCCAATGGGACACTTAAGTGTTAAATCAAATATTGGCGGTATATATAAAAGTTGTTCATGGTGGAATTGAATATAAATTATTATGAAAAACGAAAAATTCTCGAGGTAAAAAGTGATGAATTTTTATTTTTTATTTTTTTAAAAAAAAAGATGAATTATTTTCTAGCTTAAGGTGAAGACAAAANAATATGAGTTTCCCAAACTCTAACGATCTGGGTTCATTAATTCATTTGCTAAAATTGCACTATTTTATCTCATTTTCGTAGTTTGTAGTTATGTCAATAATGCCACGAATATATAATTAATCAGTACCATATATTACTGAGAATTTCAAAGTATATGGTCCAAATATTTATAATGTTTGATTTTTTAATTTCTTTGTCTTTAGGACCATTTTAGGCTCGGATTGTGCATATCGCGATGAACATTATTCTCAATTCATTTTTCATACAATGAAATAAAATTAGTATACAGCTAATGCACTGTGCGTTATGATCATTATTCTTAGTTCAATATTACCATTTTATTTTTTATTTTTTGTAAATATTGATCTAGTTGCTATCTTTTGTCAGTTTCTTAAATTTTTTTCTCACATTTTAATTATATTAATGGTGTCTATATCAGTAAATTTATCTTTAGTCACTTGATTTAATTAGTTAATATGTCAAACAACAATTTGAAATTATCAATCAAATATAAAGAACCTGTTATCAGCCACATCTATTGCTTTCTTGTTTTGAAGATAAATAATAAATGATACCAAAATATTTATGTTTTAATAGATTTTAAAGATAACATCATGAATAAATGATAAAACAAAACTCTCATATTTGCAAGGAAAATCCTGGGCGGTCTTAATGTAAGTCCATGTGAGATGTGTTTTAAATACCGTACCGTTGGTTATACCAATCTAGCCACTGGTACGGTATATAATAATATCGGCAATATTACCGGACTAACAAATATAATGATATATATAAATATACATAAAATATATAATACCAAATACAAAAAAATAAAAAAAAATAAATGACTATAATCATTAATTTCAACTTTTCAATGAGATAAAAATAAAACATTTTAACTAACCAATTTCAATTTTATGTTTTAAATTAATAATTTTTTTTTATTATTATTATTATTGACCGGTATTTTGGACCGTATTCCGGTATAACCGTAATTCCGGTATTGTGAGTGTAATAGTATCGTACCAATGGCCGGTATCCAATATTACCGGCCGGTACGATATTTAAATCATTGATCTGATCATCCAGGAGAATCACATCGACCACTTTACGTGTTTATTATATANCATTCATAAATTAGTTATAAATTAAAAAAAAAAAATGTGCAACTTGGGTATATTTTAATATATTTTTACTTAAAACATAAATATTTTAATATATTTTTACTTGAAAAAAAATAAGAATTCATAAGTATGAAAATATAAAGCAATTAGTTTATTGATGAACAATGTTAAAACCTCTTGAGCCCAATGAATCTGGTAAGCCCATGAAAGTTCTCTCATAAGTTGGTAGGGCCCAAATAAAGTGATGTTATTCTTCTTCAGTTCTTGTTCCTATTTTTTCAGCACTAGAAGAAAAGTTTTACATTCTTTTACTGATTTTTAATGGCCTTTTTTATATCTTATTATTGCTTTTAAAGGATTATAAAGAAAGTTAATTAGGAAATATTCATAATATAGTTTCTACTATTGCTTATAAAGAAAGTTAAATTAGGAAAATATTCATAATATAGTTGCTAGTTGCTATTGGTTTAATATAATATGAAAGAGATGATAAGCTCATGAAAGAAATAGTAAAATATCTTAAAATTTAGATTTCATTTTTACCTTAGTAGAAGGACAACTTATAATTTGGCATCATTTGAAGAACAAAACGAGTAGTTGCAGTAAAAAAATGGTGTGGATATAAACTTCCACAGGCGGTTGAAAAACAACTGATATAACTGAAGGAACCAAAAAATACAATGACGTGATATGCTCAGACATAAAATGATCTAATCCAAAAAACCAAATTGGTAATCAGTCAGTTAATCCAATTACAGTTTTGATAACACAAGATTAATAGAAACGATCTAATCCAAAAACCAAATTGGTACACAGACAGTTAATCCAATTACTGTTTTTTATCACTCAATATTAATGTGAGTTCTCGTGTAAGCTGCCGAGTTTACAACCAAAACTAGGATTTNCAAGAAGAAAAACATTTTATGTAAATTACCAATATATAGCTACACCACTCCAGAAGGAAGACGCAAAACAAGCTGCCCCCCGAAAACACTGCACATCAACATTCGAAGTTTATGAAACGAATTTATATAAGGCTGTGTTTGGTAAGCATATAAGTTATCTTATAACTTATTTGATTAGCTTATAAGCTTCTTGTATTCAAATAAGTTTGGTTTGGTAGGATGAACTTTTTTAAAAAGCTCGAGCTTATCTCATAAGTCCATTGAAATTTTTTATTTCAGCTAGCTTATTAGCTAATTTTATCAAACATTTTTATCATATAAGCTAACTTTTCAGCCATAACTCATACGCTGTCAGCTATAAGCTCAAAATTCATTTAAAAGCTATAAGTTAGCTTATTAGCTAAATTTACCAAATATAGCCTAAATAGATAGATAAATAGATAGAGATGTTGAATCTGTAATGGTACAAGAAAATTTCCCGAACCTTTTTACGTAGTAATAGCAAAAGTCGGCTAGGATAAATGTCTGGACAATTTCGGATAAGAGAACCATTGAAGGCCATAGTCCATAGCCCAAAGCCACAAGGAGTTTTCCACGTGTGTCCAAAACCTGAAAAAACATAGAAAATAAATGGTTTACTCAATTTTTTTTTATGTAATTACGGTAGAAAAAGAGAAAAGCTATACTTCAAAATACTTACACCTCAGATGGAGAATGATTGTTAAGAGTGTGTCTATAAATACATTTTAAGGTAATTTGTACTTTTTGCCGATACTTTGGTTCCTATTGTAATACGCTTTTGATGTTTTTAATGTTTTCTAACAAGATAATAAAAGGGGTTCATTCATGTATTCCAACCTGGAGAACCCAGTGAGCACAGCTGAAGAACCGAGCAACACCAAGTGCAAATACGTAATGAGCCGTGAAAGGTTCAACAATCTGCCACCACGAAAAAAAATAAAAAAATAAAAACCTCATCATGACTCGCAATTGAGTTATCTCCAAACTTCAATAAAAAAAAAATGTGAATTAACAAACAATTGGATAACCATTTCCAAATTTGAAAATTTTCCACCTTTGTGCTTTGCATGACACGAAGTTGAGGTAGCACAGAAACAGCTTCGAGATAAACACAGAAAGCCCAGGCAATCCTGTTGATGATGTGATGTGATGTAGACGGGTGAATTAGTAAAGCTATAACAGCACAAGGGATCACCTGCAAAGACACTTTCTTCAAAACTTTGAATGCGAAAAATCGGGAGATGAGCATAAAAGAATAGGAAAGAAACTAAGGCTATGTTTGGCCAAGTAAGCTAGCTTATAGCTAGGACGAGCTTTTTTGAAAAGCTTGAGCTTATCTCATAAGCTTCTTTGGGTAGCTTTTCAAATAACCTCGTTGAAATTTTTATTTTAGCTAGCTAATCAGCTAATTTTACCAAACACTTTTATCATATAAGCTAGCTAGCTTTTCAGCTAAAAGCTCGAAAATCACTTATTAGCTACCAGCTAGCTTATTATGATAGTTAGCTTATCATGATAGCTTGCTTTGCAGCTAGTTTTATCAAACATAGCCTAACAGTTCGGAGCTAAGGACTTCATCGCAAGCAGGGGAACAACATAATAAATAAATAAATAAAGCATTAATGTACAAGCTAATACTACTAAAATTAGACAACATAAGCCGAAAATAACTAATACAACCATACATTCGCGGCCAAATCGTGTGCAGTAAAGGTGGTTTTTGTATTTTAATGATAATCCTCGAAAGCACTTAAGAGATAAATGGTAATATTCAAATGAACTCTTTCCTCATCACATCCTAATAGAAATACTCACCACATAATACAATGCGATATTGTCTTTATCCTCCATATAACTTGATCTCAGTTTGAAACGAATCATATAAATAACCCACAAGGTTGTAGCAAGAGTAGCCATGTCGAGCACAGTGTGGATGTCATATTCCATGACAAAACTGCAATACAACCTCACGGCCAAAAAGATAGCTGTTAGCTCCTGGGATTTGAGCGAAAGCCCTGCCATTCGATTAACAAACAAATATCAGTACATTAAGTTGCATAGATAAGGCCAGCGCATTGTCACATAAAAATCCCCATCTTTCAACTCCAGAGATAAGTTAAAAACTGAATAAAACTATAAATACAGAACAGGAAACATTTCAAACACAACTATTGATGGAAATAAAAATGAGCCCATCAAATCTTTCTCCTGATATCACCCAAAAATCGGATCAAAATCTTTCCCAAAACACTCGAATTCCCAAAAGTTCCAACCTTTTTCACAAACTGCCAATTTCCCAGAAGTGTCAAGCCTTTCACATTCGTCAATGAATTATAGATATAAAAAGAGTAATCAAATTGCATAATTAACTTCCCCATATTCAACACATTTTCCAATAATAATTAAAGAACACTGAAAATTCGCAATTCTAAAAAATCCTAGGTTGATACAAAGAACAGTTATATAACAAACGACGTCGTACCAGCACAAGTCCTCTCCTTCATCAGCTTGTAGATCAAGACAGCGATTCCGATCGAGTGAACGGCTTCCGCCGCCACGAACAGATTGTCGTGGTCGTGAACAATCGCGCGGAGGAGAACGAGCGCCGCCATGCCGGTGACCACCGCCAGAAAAGCCTTCACCTTCGGCGGTTGCCGCCGCACCCATGCCGCCGCCGCTTGGATCGGCCTCCTTGGGGCCTTCATATTTGTACCTGAAGTATTGTAATGTGACCCCCTTTTGTCCGAAATAGCTATGAAGCTGAAAAAATAGTTAAAAGAACGCTCGTCCGTTTTCGGCCGAAAAATTGAGTAGAAAGGTTAGGGGGAAAATCGGAAATTTTGGTCTCAGGGGGGTTTTATTATCAGTAAAACTCTGTTATACTGTAGTGTGTGGAGTGGTTATTGCATACACATTTTCGAAAAATGTAGAAATTTTTATATTTAAATATTATATTTAAATAGAATAAAAATAAAATATGATATTTTTAAATTATATAAGTATAATTATTTTAAGAAATTGTGAATTCTCGGCCTACAGCAATATTTGTGTATTTATCGATTTCCAGATATTCCCTTTTGTCCTTTTTCTATTATTACAAGTGTTCTTTAAATTACTTTAATAGGAAAATTTGGCTTGTGATTTCAAACTCTTTCCCTAATTTTCAACGTATCATTGGTGTAAGTCATGTCTTGGTCGTGATGCTATCTTGCAAAATCCAAATAGTATTTTCTAATGACCGATTACCAACTACAAGAGTTAATACTGTCCACATAATTTTACCAGTTAGATCAACATACAAATATATTTTATTTACGGTGCGAGTTGTGATTTTCGAAAAAACTGCCTCCATCGTAAAACATAGATATGCTTTGATTTAACGATCAAAAAACTGTCCACACAGTAAGATCAAATTTCCATTTCCCATAAAACAAATGAAGATGATAATAATAGAAATAAAGGGTAGTAAGAAATGAGAACAAGAATGATGAAGAAGAACCTGAATACCAACTACAAGAGTTTTCCCATAAAGCAACAAAATCAATCAGCAACTATTATGCCACCATAGGTTNCAAAAAAAAAAAAAAAAAATGCCTCATTTCTCTTTCACCGAAGAAGCACCACTGCTTACCATTTTTCTTCCACGTGTATTGAGAAAAACCAATGAATTCAATTCACAACCTTAACAGCACAATCTAATAACAGATGGACCAGAAAAAGAAAAACTAATAACCCAAGATTTAGAAAGTCCACGAAGCTGAACGCTTCAAAACGGGCTTCAGGTGCTTATCCTCCTCGATGGCAATCATGCCCAAGTGCGAAGGATCCTCGATCAACATCTTAGCCACCAGATAGCCCGCAATCGACCAGGTCTGGTTTTTCCGAGCCTGCTTCCCAATAAACCGGCCAAGCTTTCCATCGTAATATTCGGGCCAACCGTCTTTCGACAGACGGCTCTCAGCAAGTTCGATTGCACGTCTCGCGATCTGGGGCCTCCCGGTCTTGATGCATGCAGCAGTTAGGAGCCATAAAAGTACTGTTTTGCACAAATCATAATTAGCAAATATAATTCTTACAATTGTAAAAAGGGGTTAAAACTTAAAATTGTATTCTAAACATGCAACTTCTAGTTATCGAAACTTTGTTTTTGCCAGTTGTCTGTGTGTCTTGAAAACAAATTATCAATTGAATCATCTGGCACCAGAATGCACAGAACTTTTTACCTATGGGGCCAAAACTGCAAGTAAACCTCGATAAAATCATCATAGAGATTCAATACAAGTACTTAAAACCCCATCTATCTTCCAGAATTACGAATTGATATTCTTTTTTCTATTTCATTGCACCCTCGAGAGTCAAGAGGAGGCAGTTCGCAACAAACACAAGACAACATGTCAAAAACTTTAAAGCCCCCAGTAATCCTCAAGGGCAACATCCAAATTGCTAGAGAAAATTTTACACATCCATCGGCCATAAACTCGAGAATTTTAGGATCAAAACATATAACTTGAGATTTAGGACCAAAATCACTAGGATATTTAACTTATAGGCCCGACATCGCTAAATCTAAAAGCTCACAAGACAAATTGCCACCTCGCCATTCTAGGGAATAAACGTCGCAACCTATCCCTATGAAAAAACACCATTCAGGTTCAACCAATTTCCGAACAAGCCAAAAATTATAAAACACCCCCCCTTCATATTTGTTTCTACTCTAAATCCCACACCACGGCACAAGTATATAAACTAACAAACACAAACTTCAACAAGCTGCACGTGTTGGAAAGATAATCAGAGCAAACCAACCTTCATGGCAGCATTATATTTCCAAACCAATCGAAAAAATAAAAATATTAATATAATAATATAANGCCAAGAACCACCATTATGATAGCTCCACCTCGTGTTCTTGGGGTCGCAGCCAGTCACGATCCGCCACTCATGATTCTCGATGGCCGGGTAACAGACCTTGAGCGGCATATCCCCCACGAGCTCCTCCCACCTCGACTCTATCAGGTCCATGATCGCCATTGACTGCTCGTGCGTTGCCAGGGAAGAGAGGATCGCGACACAGTTCCCCAGACAAAACCAACGGAAGTCCATCTTTGAGGGCCCCACGTTCCCGATGAAGTAGCCACCATGCAGGGGCATGAAGTCGAAGATCCACTCTGGAAGGGAATCAGGCATGACGTTGAACTTGTTGACGGCCGTGTGGGAATACTCCTCAGTCTTGTAGCGGTATATGCCGTTGAGCTGCTTGAAATCAAGCCAGAAGTAGCTCCGCATGTGGTAGCTTAAGGCGTGCAGGCGTTTGACTATACCTTCTATGAGCTGCTTGCCCGGGGCATCGTGTTTTAGCAGGAGCATTGCGCATCTTAAAGCCATGAAGAATAGTGCTTGGATCTCGATGGGGTAACCATACACTCCCTGCATGCATATTGTACAGTAAGAAAATGCACCATGTGTGTAATGATAGAAGTATTCATAGTTGTACTAGTGTATGTATCACGTTTCACATAATGGCAAGTACCAATGTTAATATTATGCGAAGTAAATATAAAATATATCCAAAATGTGTGAAATATTCAATAATCTTCCTAATGAATGAATGTTCAACGGAGTCCCTTTTAGTTGTGTAAGGCAAGCAGATTGTACAGTATTCTCAAAAGAAGTAACTTACAGTAAGAGGCAAAGAACCCATCAGAAAGAACATTCATGAGGTCCATACAGAGCCATAGATTCTTAATTCTTAAATTTCCCCAGGCCAAAATAAAAAGGTTTTCTAAATTTCTGAAATAATAACCTTGCAAAAATAAAGGGAAACACAGTATAACCACCATCACAGCATTTTAATGAAAAAAAAAAGGAAGGAAAAGGAAAACTCACCATCCTACGATCAATCATACAGCACCCATCAGCACAAAGAAGTGTCGGGAATGTGTCAAACCCTTCCGAGAGGCATAAACTGAGTATCAGCCTCATGCCCTTTTGGCATTCAGGCATCTCGGCTAAAGAGGTGTCCCCGGTTGATTTTGTATACGCCCGTAGTAAAATAATCCACCAGAATCCGGAATCAACTGGGGCCACTCGACCTATTGCACTCTCGCCAAAATCGGCCAACAATGTCTCAGTATTCCTTACTGGGTCATGCAGCACCTTGAAACTGGCTGGCATAACACCTTCACCTAATTGGAACCGATCAACTTTCTTCTCCCACGACTGAAGGCGGAGTGTTTTTAAGAGAAAATTCTTCACAACTTCGGGTTCACCGCTCATTAAGAAAGCCAATGCACTAGGAACAAAATCCCTCACAAATACCTGCACCAGTAAAGCTTCATAAACTGCTGAACTATTCCAGTTGGTCATAATTTTTTTTATATAAAAAGTCCTCAGAAGAGAAAGAAAACATGATTTTATCTGAAATTACAAACTTCAGACTAGTCGAAACGATGAAGTACATTCAGAAAACAGATTGGCTGCCTTTTTTGTGTAGAATCGTGATTGAAGAACACCCCTCATATTGGGATTGGAATTCTAGATTAGAGAGGTCAAGTATTTATCTAAACTACTTATACTCGGTGTGCTCCAGAAACATCGTATCATCTTAGTTAAATAAAGCTACATTAAAGGGAACGTATCCAGATGGTATTTATTTATTTCGAGAAATTAAGACAATAAATTCCTAAGTTTTATTTTTAAGACTCCTAAAAAGATAAGGTGTGTTCATGCTCCTCACTAAATCGGAAAATCACTTAAACAAAGAATGACCCTGCCTGAAAGATAACATACTTGACAATAATTGAATGCTCATTTTACTAGAATACAACATAATGACATTACATTAATGATTCCAATTTATTGACTCAGTCGTAAAGGAGATTGTTAAATTTCAAGAATCAAATTCTAAGAGCACCTGAAGAATCTGTAATTGCAACTGAAATGTACTAATTACTCAACACCTCCAATCCAGCAGACTTAACAGCTAACCGAACACGTAAAACATGCACTCCATTATCCCAGCACCAACTTACTATCCACCACAAACAACAAATCACAATAATACAGAACGCAATTCATTCGATTAGTAGTTATAACTGGAAATTCGAGCCTTTACCTGATCATAGTTGAGTTTTTCATCCGAGTTATCCAGAGCAGCTATAGTCCCAACCGGTTGGCCCCGGAAGTAAACCAACGACCTCTTAACACTGTCCCAAGCCTCAGCCACCATGGGGTGAGTCTCATTTATCTGCTGCATGTATCCAAACTGTGAACTCGGGGTATTAAAACCGGATCTCTTGCTGGGTGAATAAACACTGTCCAAATGGTCAAAGGATCGACAGAAGGAATCAGCCTTGGAAGGAGGATGAGATTGAGGAGACAGTCCCAGTGGCAAATCCGCAAAAGATCTTTCATCGCAGGATTTATGTTTCCCGAGATTCAGATTTCTGGGCCAATTTGGTAATCTTGAGAAATTGTATTCTTCTAACTCAGCCATGCTTTTAGACGAGTCGGCATTCTTGTTGTTATCGTTTTGTGACACATCTACTGCTAGTCTAGACATCTTTTGGGGATTCGTTTTAGAATGGAAATGTAACTAAATCAATGAAAGTGAGCTTCTCAGCAATCTGCACTTTCCAATAGTCGACTAAGTGAGTAGACTCCAAATGGAAAGGGTAAACGAAAATATTTCGAGAACAGCAATGTAAGCTCACTGGTAAAAATGAATTCTCAGCTCTTCATATCCCAAGATTCAGTTATGCAAGCTTTACAAGAACAAGGCAAAAAAGTGTGTAGTGCATACCGTGATACCAAGTAGCCGAATAAACACAATACATGTGAAAAATAACTCACAGAGTAGCAAAGGATAGCCAAATAAACACAACACTCGTTC